TAATTCATACCAATTTTAATGAAAAAGTCAACAATGTTTTTTTTTTTTAATTTGATAAATATATATTTAACCGCAAAAAATGCCGTATTTTCATAAAATCCTAAATCTTCGTTAAAAATTAATTTTTTCTAAAGAAATGTTGTATATATTAAGAAGATATTTATGTAAAGTAGATTTTCATAAGGTTTTTACAAAAATTCGCTGGTGTTTATCCGTTAAAAAAAGTTAGTTGTGTCTATCCAAAGGATAATAATGTAAAAAAAAAACGAAATTTTTAGTAAATATCTAAAATTTAGACCCCATTTATCTCTTAAAATAGAGCATATGATGGATTTTTTAACGAAAACTTGCATACATGTTTTTTTATTTTACCTACGTAATTTAAATATGTTATAAAATGATATACATAAAACTAACGTTAGAGTAAAATTCATGTAAACGTCATATTTAATCATAATTTTATATGATTTTGGCTCTCATAGTTATTTATTGTTCAGTAGACGACGTCAGAAAAAAGGGACTAGGTATTTATTTGTTGGAAATAAAATAAAATTTCAAAACTATTTTGTCTTTCACCCCCCCCCCCCTCCCCCCCCCCCCCCCCCCCCCCCCCCCCCCCATAAACGCATGAAGATAATTCATACCAATTTTAATGAAAAAGTCAACAATGTTTTTTTTTTTTAATTTGATAAATATATATTTAACCGCAAAAAATGCCGTATTTTCATAAAATCCTAAATCTTCGTTAAAAATTAATTTTTTCTAAAGAAATGTTGTATATATTAAGAAGATATTTATGTAAAGTAGATTTTCATAAGGTTTTTACAAAAATTCGCTGGTGTTTATCCGTTAAAAAAAGTTAGTTGTGTCTATCCAAAGGATAATAATGTAAAAAAAAAACGAAATTTTTAGTAAATATCTAAAATTTAGACCCCATTTATCTCTTAAAATAGAGCATATGATGGATTTTTTAACGAAAACTTGCATACATGTTTTTTTATTTTACCTACGTAATTTAAATATGTTATAAAATGATATACATAAAACTAACGTTAGAGTAAAATTCATGTAAACGTCATATTTAATCATAATTTTATATGATTTTGGCTCTCATAGTTATTTATTGTTCAATAGACGACGTCAGAAAAAAAGAGACTAGGTATTTATTTGTTGGAAATAAAATAAAATTTCAAAACTATTTTGTCTTTCACCCCCCCCCCCCCCCCCCCCTCCCCCCCCCCCCCTCATGAACGCATGAAGATAATTCATACCAATTTTAATGAAAAAGTCAACAATGTTTTTTTTTTTTAATTTGATAAATATATATTTAACCGCAAAAAATGCCGTATTTTCATAAAATCCTAAATCTTCGTTAAAAATTAATTTTTTCTAAAGAAATGTTGTATATATTAAGAAGATATTTATGTAAAGTAGATTTTCATAAGGTTTTTACAAAAATTCGCTGGTGTTTATCCGTTAAAAAAAGTTAGTTGTGTCTATCCAAAGGATAATAATGTAAAAAAAAACGAAATTTTTAGTAAATATCTAAAATTTAGACCCCATTTATCTCTTAAAATAGAGCATATGATGGATTTTTTAACGAAAACTTGCATACATGTTTTTTTATTTTACCTACGTAATTTAAATATGTTATAAAATGATATACATAAAACTAACGTTAGAGTAAAATTCATGTAAACGTCATATTTAATCATAATTTTATATGATTTTGGCTCTCATAGTTATTTATTGTTCAATAGACGACGTCAGAAAAAAAGGGACTAGGTATTTATTTGTTGGAAATAAAATAAAATTTCAAAACTATTTTGTCTTTCACCCCCCCCCCCCCCCCCCCCCCCCCCCCCCCCCCCAGATCAGAGCTATATAAAACAGGCATATCTTTATATATGTCTAATTTTACATATAGCTCTGGTAATACCAGAGACACATACTATAATGTATTATATATCTCTTCTTATTCATATAAACATATCTGATTACATTGAAAGTTTCTGCGTTTAAAGCATTTATTAATATGAATCATTAGTTTGAGTATAGCGTAACAATATCCCTTGATTATAATGGGACGAAAAAGAGGCAAATGCACGGTGAAAATATAAAGGAGTCGTTCAATGAATTGGGGTGAAAAAAAAAATGAACTAGAAATCTGAAAAATGCAAATTTTTTTTTTTATTCTTTTTTTTGGCAAAATTAGCAGACACTTAAACAAGTGAGTAAGATAGATCTATACACAAAGTATAAAATCTTTAGTTCGGTCATTGAACAACAAAAACATTGTTGATATTATGTACTCATATTTTGGCATTGCACAAGGTCATGCTTTTCTCAGAATGTTCATGTCATCTTTTTCTGATCCGTTGCGTGTGTAACGATTAATAAGATGGTTTATTTATTAGTTGTTTCTTGCTTCGAACTAGCTTTCAGTTTACCACGAATATTGACCAGTACTTTAAATTTTTGTACTTTTTTGTTTTTATGTTAGCATTTTTAGGATTCATGTGAAACCATTTCAAAATGGTTTTTATATATGTTCTTGTGTTGTTCTGTTACATCACTGTCCAATGTAAGGAGATGGGTTATCGGTCATACACACGCTAGAAGCCTGTAATTCTTTGGCTGTCGTTAGTTGATGTCAAAACAGCTACTTTTGCCTTACTTTGATTTTGGAATACTGACCACGTACCTACACATACGTGTACTACACCAACTCTGACTAAGAGTGCTCAAACCTTACTTTTATCTTATTAAATCATTTATGAACTCAAAATTAAGACAACATGTACTTAGATCATATCAGTACCGAAAGTCTGGATTTTCGCCGAATTATACTCACCTGAACTGAAACCAAATCATAAGTTCAATCAAACCAGTGGTAGTGGAAAAAGAAAATATATGACCAAGAAATTGATGTTTGCACTGTATTGCAAGTGATGTTCTATTTGGAATAAATACAGTTAAGATATATGACCTGTAGTTCATAAGAAAATAAACAAATATCCTTAAGAACTGTAACCTGAGACTACACATACGTTTTCGTCCATATTCAACCATAAAATGAAACAACTAGGTGTCCCAGTGTAAGTGTACTTGAAATTGTCACATCTAGATATTCATTGTTCCTTGACAATGCAGAAGACTATGAAGAAAATATGTCATGGGCGATTCTTGTTGATGTTCAAGATGGTCAAGCCATTATAGACCATGTGTTTTAACATATTTTATACGATTTTTGATTCAAGAATAGGGCCATGAACAATTATATACGAGTTGTCGTGTTTAGAACATCCACATTGGTAATTCAGCAGTATAAGAAAAAAGGAAGTAGCTAGGTGTCTGACTGATCAGACAAATGATCATATACTGCGCGTTAAAACTCATTACTGTTCAGTTGCTGACTTGATATAAATTCATTCTGTTCAGTAGTTCATAAGAAAAGTGTGACAAACAACTTTTTGTTCATTCCACATATTGGCAAATGGGAAGTACTTATTGGACATGTATCAGACAAATTCAAAAGCGGAGACATTACAACTCGTTTAAAAAAATTATAGTTTTTTTCGAAATACTAAGGATGTTCTGCCCATGGAACATTTCAAATGTTGTGGACTTCAGCGCTCTTCAACTTCGTTCTTTATTTGGCCCTTTTATTTATTTTTTAATTCGAGCGTCACTTTTATGTCTTTTGTAGACGTAACGTGCATCTAATGTTCAAAGTTATAAGCCTGATTGCTATGATCTATGCTCGGAGAGAACCACCGGCCTTCGTTAGGAAATATTACAATCATAGTAAATTAAGATTGGAGTCGAGTGCACCTGCCTCGTGCGGGATTCGAACTCACAACGTCACTGTTGACTGGCTAGTGATACAGTAGTTGGACTACTGTTTTATCATTACTACTTAGACAACTCGGCCAGCGAGGTCCCCAATACAGGATGGATGTACACTAGACTAAAACTCTGTGAAATACGAGGAAGTAGCAAATGCGACAGAGGAACTGCTTTTTATTGCCGTTCTTCTTTTTTCTCTGACAATAGGCCACTTCACGGTTTGTTCGGCCATATTAAATAGGGGAGATTTTTTGGATGGATTTTGAAATAGTATGATAGTACGGGAAATTCTATGTATGTTTCCAAACAACTGTCCTCTTTTAATGATGTTTTACTGTATTTTTCAAACAATTTTGCCCTCTATTCAACATGGCAGCATTAACCGTGAGGGGGCCTATTGCTTGAAGGACTTAACTTCGTAAGGTAGATACTCTGTATACCGCAATCATCGATTGTACAATATCAATATACACAATCCGTCTAGTACTTCTCCTAAATCTGCAAATTTTGAGACATATTTGCAATGTTTATGTTAGACTTCTTATTTGTATAAGAAAAATAGGTGATTTGTTGCATTATCCAAATTGTTCAAATAAAACAAAAAAAAATTTAAGTTCTTCGAATGAATTTTTCAACTTTGTCAATTACCGGGATGTAACTCTTAAAGTAATTTTTTATACTGGAATGATAAGAGAAATTTTCATTTTTTTACTTGCAGCAAGAAACAAGTTCGGTAACACCATTTTGTCTTTTTGTTTTCCTTGAGCACACTATAAAACCTATCTTCTCGTATTTTATTTCAAAGTTCTATCTTATCGATTTCTTTTTATTCACAAAAATACGTTTTTATGAACAATCTATATAAATTTTGGTAATTTTGCACAACTTATAGCTTGTAGCACGGTGACCATATTTTTTTTATCATATTTTTTGAAAAAAAAAGCAATGAAAAATCTTCATTTGGCTAGGTATACAAAAATTATATCTGAGGAAATTTATACCGATGATCCACTTTAGATGAAGGATTCAGCAACATATTAAAGCAAGCTCATGTGTGTACCTTGTGTCGACATAACTGGTACCCGTATTCATGTTTAATTCTCATAAGATGTTTCTGACCACATTCCAGGAAATATAAAAATTCAGACAACTTTTATTTTTCAAATATTTATTAAAAAAATTAACAAATCAAAATGTCACCAATAACCAAATAAACTGCTTCGCTGAGCGCAGCTGGATACGCCCGCAGAGGTTCAACCCTGAACAGTTGGGGCAAAAATGGACACAATATTCAAGCTTGATACAGGTCTAAATTTGGATTGTATTAAATATTTGACATCCTATAGGTTTCTGAATAAATGTAGTCAAAGAACTTGAAATTGGCTATATGAATTGAATTTATATTCAATTAAAGATTTCTTGATGTTTTGCAATACACTGTGCTGTTGCGCAATACTTAGTAAACCTGTTGTCAGACTATAAACAAATAAAGTTCAATTAATTCTCAAGGTCATATTAGAAATTTATGAAAATGTAAAGGGAGCTTACATCAATAGATATAAACAATACACCAAAGTTTCATGAGAATTGCTGACAGCATTTTTGAGTTATTGTCCGAAAACTAGAAAATCCCCCCTTTTTTAATGAATAAAACCCCATAACTCAGAAATGTAAAATTTTAAATTTATAAAATTCTAAACGGAGCTTATATCAATAGATATAAACAATTCACCATAGCTTCATACGAACTGCTGAAAGCATTTTTGATTTTTTGTCCGAAAACTGGAAAATCCCCCTTTTTTATGAATAAAAACCAGTAACTCAGAAACGTATAATCTAAAATATATAAAAATCGAAAGGGAGCTCATGTCAATAGATATAAACAATTCACCACAATTTCTTGCAAGTTGGTGAAAGCATTCTTGAGTTATTGTCCGAAAACTGGAAAATCCCCCCTTTTTTAATGAAAAAAACCGCATAACTCGGAAACGTATAATCTAAAATTTATAAAAAACGAAAGGGATCTCATGTCAACAGATATAAACAATTCACCAAAGTTTTATGCAAATTGGTTAAAGCGTTTTTGAGTTAATGTCCGACATGTTGACGACGGACGGACGGACAGAGGTATACCATAATACGTGCCGTAAACGGGCGTATATAAATGAAAGACATAATATGAACAACTTTAAAGTTTCAACTAATAAATCAAATGTATATTTTTTGCAATAATTTTCTTAATCACAGATACTCATCAAAACCTAATCCATACGGGAACAATCATTTATCTTCCAGAATAGTCCATTTTCATATTACCGACGTATGACTTTGGAATTTATATTTTTTCGACATTTTACCTTCCCTGTAGTAAGACATTCTGGTACTCGGTCAAGCAAGAACAATATAAATAAGTAAATTCAAGATTTTAATTGATACAATTTTGAGGGAAAGTTAACTGTTTAATAAATGCTTTCTTTACATGACTAAATCATCAGAAAACAGGAAGTCTCCCCCCAAATTGCATGAATCATGAATTTGATTTTACTTCTTTTGGTTGCTTGTAATTGACTGAGCACAAGGATGTCTTACCACAGAGTAGGTAACCTGTCGTATATTTGTAGAACCCGGAGTCAAAAGTCGGTAAAATGAAAATGGTCTATTGGGTATGGTTTTTTCCTAAAAACATATTCTTATCCTAAATTTCATGAAAAATAATATTGTGATCAAACAGATGACTAAAAAAATATATTCTTAATCCAGATTTTCCCTAAACACTATTGTGTTACATTTTGAAAAAAAAATTTGACTGATAGGATCGAAAAACTAAAAGAAAATTTCGGACTCAGACAAAAAAATCATACCTCCCCCTTGAAGTTAAATGGTTGCTCCCTACCATAACACTATCATTACAAAGAAAAAGCTTAATAAAAATTTAAATCTTTAAATTATTTTAACTATAACTTATTTTTACAAATTTTGTCACCAGATCAGATTTTTTTAACTCTTTTTATCTTCAACATATAGAGAACAGAATTTTATTTAACAGTGTTATTTTTACTACTTTTTACCGAAGACTGCACTATCCTCAACTGATGAAACCAAAGTATTTGTATCATCATGAACTGCTAGCAATTGGTTAGTTAGACTATTAGATACACAATTATATCTTGCATTGGTTTCGCCTATTTTAAACTGCTCTAATTCTGTACTTATACTTGACTCTTCATCAGAATCCCACTCTTCCCAAGAGTCTTTTGTCTGTTGAGGCTTTAACCACCATGGTTGTTCATCCTCTCTGTTGCTTTCATTTTCTTTGCATTTTTCGAAACAAATGTCTGCTTTCACATTTGAAATCCTAGGAGAATCCAGGCTAATACAAGTTCGTCTGTAATATAAATAAATTTCTCCTTCCTCATTTGAAAATTCAGGAGAACCCAATATATTCTCTATGAAAGAAGTATTGGAGTGAACAATTTCACCAATGAGGAGTCGCAAATCAATAGGAAGTTCTCGCTTAGTCAATTTTCTTTGACCTTGATGCTGCTTTTTTACATTACCTCTACTTATTTTTTGAAGAGCACGCTGCTTTTGTTTTTGTTTTTTAACATAATCCATTCTCCTAAACATCTTGTTTTTGAGAAAAAACACAAAGCAATCCTCATCTTGATTTTTTGAATCAGATCGTTTTTTATCTTTTTTATGACGTCTATCCTCATTATTCTTTCCTTTAAAAACATTTTCACCTCCGCCATTATGGAACAGTTTCTTTATGTCAGCATAAAATCCGTAACCTCTTTGAATTCTTTTGTTGCTACGCTGAAATTACATAGATGTATATACTTGAATACAAGCTTCAATAATGCCTTATGTGTCTTCATACAAAAGCTACTAGGACAATGTAGTATTCTTGGTGTATAATCATGCTTTAAATATTGAAAAAGCTTAACAATTTTAAAGAGGATTCTCAAAGCAAACCTTGAGCTTGTTTCAAGAATGTACAGCTTATTATGCAATGGTGCTTGATTGGTGTTTCCCCTGTAGGCTTTTTTGACAGATGGAACACTAATATGAAGGGAGATAATGCAAAGAGACTTACTGGCATACTCTTTTTCTGTTTACTTAGCATGTTTATGTGTGATATTTCACAGGAATATTGTGTGTTAAATATCTAATTTTAGTAACAAGATCAACCTGTTCTTAGAACTAGTGACTTTAAAATCAATTAAGATCTTCCTCTTATCATATGGTATTACACATCCTTAAAACGTTTGCAATCAGATAAATGAAGTATATGATTCAGCATTCATAAACAATTTTTTTGCATACATATTTGTCTTCTCTTAGTTCCTTAGACCTTTTTTTGAAGACAATAGTGGATTCAAAATCAAAAGGAATTTTCTTCACACATCCAATCGAAAGGTTGAAAGCAATATATGGAGTATTTGATTTAGAATCCTGAAATAAGTTTTAAGCTTCTAATTCACAAAATACTGTTACTAGCAATGACCTTAACCAAGACATAGTAACCTTAAAATTAAAAGTGATCTTCTTCTCATTAAATGTATCTATATATATGCAAAAAAGGAGGTGATAAAAAAAAATCGCAACAGGACAACACCTTTCTGCACTAATTATGTTCCATTTTTAGTAATTATGATCTTGAACGTCGACATTTTGACCTCTCATTGAATCTTCTCTCATTACATGTGACTAATATATGGCCGAGTAGGTTGTATTCCCATATAAGGTATTTGACTAACTATTTAGAAACCACTTTCATGGATACATTTTGGTCTATCGTTAGTAGCTATGAATTTGACCTTTGACAAGTTGACCTCCATACCAACGTATAAATCAAAAGATATAACCAAGAGGTCAACAAGATTTTGTTCTAATTTCAGATTATCAATTGCAGCTGAATATTTGACTTTTCACCTATTGACCTTAAAATCATTATCATGTGTCTTCATCTCCACGGGCATCGTAACACCAAGTTTAAAATATGTTTAACAGAAAACGTACATCCTGAAACCAAAATGTTGTCCAGTTCAGTCTATTACCGGGGTAATACATGTTAATCACCTTACCTTACAACATTTTGATTTCAAAATAAATAAATTCCTTATACACTAATAGACCAAATGGTGACATCATTGAACAAAAGACTCTTACTGTGATGTAATAACATGAGCATAATACGACATCATAAATATATTGAAAAATGCACCAATTTGAAATTTGTCTTAAAAAATTTGGGCAATTTAAAAAAACAAAAGACATTTCTTGAACATGTTGAAACCAACATTATGCCCAATTTATGCCGCTGACTGACCTATGGAGGGGCCCGCTCCAATCATGCTTCAGTGATTCCCTATAAAATCAACCAAAATTTTTCCCTGGATCCGCCTATGCCAAATCAATTTTTGTAAAGATATTGTTAATGGCTTAATTGTTCTCACATTGTTGTCAATTTAATGGAAATTGAAATATCACAGTTGTTATCCATTAGTTTGATGCGTTTGAGCTTTTGATTTTGCCATATCATAAAGGACTTTTTCTTGGAGTTCGGTATTTTTGCTATTTTACTTTTGATGAAAACTGATATGTTGATCTTATGAGGACCTGACTCCTTTCGAACGGCAACCATAATATTGTAAGCGATTTCCAACATGGTTGCAATTGGACTAAACTGCAGATCAAACTTACTATTATGGCCATACAGGGACCTATCATTTGGTCTTGGTTGGGTATAGTCTCATTGGCAATTTATCACATCTTCTTATTTGTATATGATAAACAAACTGTTCCTTCTGTAAACAGTTTGTACATTACCTATCATACATTTCAAAACAGATGGTTAATAGTCTGTTTCAGATTTTTATCATGAGAACAAACAGAGCTGTATGTATATTCATTTATGTTTATGATCAAAAGACCAACATATAACGGGAATGCTATTTTTGTAGGGTCAGCAGAAAGAAAAAGGCACAAAACTACAATTATTTTTTCAGAAAATGGTAAAAATCAGGTCTACAGCTTTTTAAAACAACATTTCAAACTCCTTTTTATTATATTATTAAAATAAGCACAATATAAACAATACATTTTGACATTTTATAAAGAAATTCTATAGATTTTAATTTACACCACTCTTTAATACCTTAAAAATCAAATATTTGAAGTTGTACCTCAATCTCTTCCAGTTTATTGTTCAGCAAAAGTACAGCACTCTGAATTGCTTCTGATGAACCTATTATATTAAATGTCACAACCTAAAATTAAGATTAAATACATATTGAATCAGTTTGAATAACTTTTTTTCAATAAATGAAGATGACGGTGAATTGTTCATCTTCTCCTGGCTTTGCTCATCCAAACATAAATTTATAGACTAACTAATCGAAGAAACCAAATAGAGAAAAATATTCAACGAGTGACCAAACAACTCAATAATTCACGAATTCAAAAAATCACCAACTATATTTTTTTTCTTCGCGTTTACAATTTGTTTTGATCCGACGTTATCGACGTCTTGACAACGCCTATTGTTGTATGACGTCAGAGGAGTGAATTAAATAACCACGTTTATTTCATATGTGAAATTATCGGTTTTTATTTCACCAGGAAATCTATGTAATTCATTGCAACAATAACTCATCAAATAGGGTCAAAAACCCCAATATAAGCAGTCGACAGTTTTGGTGTATATATGAGCAGTAGGTAAATCTTATCAATCTCACCATACTGCCTGTCAGATATTCACCCTATCAAGATAAAAGACAAAAATTGCAGTTTACCTCTGTTCTATATTGTCAGCCATGCAGGTTGGCAGGCAAGACCTTTGGACCTTCTAGATATCAAAATGTCGCTTGTATCAAAGTTTGAATCCAATATAGCAATATAGCCAAGTCGCTAGAGCTGAAGATTTTTGTAAAAATTTAAGGCAGATGGGGATATTTAACAAGGACAAAGAAAGCCAAGTGATGATAACACATGTAGCTTAATTTTACCTTTTGGGTCAGGTGAGCTTAAAATCATAGGCCACTTGCTGCTTCTGGTAATGTTTTAAAGTTTAATGAGTGATGGAAAATATAACATAAGTGCTAGTTCACATGGTAGCAGTGTAGAGGATGATATGTCACCTTATCCCGAAACATTACCGTATTGGTGGAAAATTTTGCGATTTCATTGAATAAGGTATACACAATATTTTGGCGGTTATTTTTTGTCGAAAATAACCCGCTATACGGTATTCTGACTAAAGTACAACCACTCTTGGTTTTTACTCCTCAATGCCATGTCCTTAGTGAAGAAGCATCAAAATGTCTTCGGTGTAATCAAGCCAGGGACTCAATAACAACAACCTTCTTCCTGGAGGTGAGCATATTATCCTTAAAGACCAATGAGACATAACTGTCATGACTTTCACACTTAAATTTTCGTAATAGCACATGGATACTATGAATACTATGAATGTTATACTATAACCTTACAGCATTTTCTTTTTGTTTTTGTTTTTCAATTTTCTTCACTAAGGACTTATCTATCACATCTTTAATTACATTTCCATTTTTTCCAATTACTCTACCTAAAATAAGATAAAAGACTTCTTATAAATTGTTTTTTTCCAAAGCAGCTGCAATCTGTAAAGTTTTTGTTTGTTCTGAGAAAATTGTGTTTGCTTATATATTACCAGATAAACAAAACTCACAAGGGGGAGACATTTTATTTTATAATACATGTCACAACAGTTATATATATATCAGTACATGAAAGATTTAAAATATAAAACATCTTCAATAAGTAAAATATTTATTTTCATAATGACTGAGTTTCTACCACATGATTTGAATACTTTTGAAGAATTATTAATCCACAAATTAGTGGCAGTTTTTTTTTAAAATCTTTTAAATTGTGTCAACATTGCTCAATTATCATTGCATTAGTATACATAGCTCATACTACAAGATAGAATGTAAAAAAAGAATTCACTATCGGGTTAACAACAACCACAATCACTGTACAGACATATGAAAGAAACTGATTTTTCACACAAAAAATATAAAATATGATGTTTTTTTCTGCCTGTTGTCCTAAATAATTTCCACATTTTAGGGGACAAACCAGCTTTCATTTTTTCCATGGCCTAAACCGTTTTTTAATTTTGTTGATATAGTTGAATAATATGAACGTGAAAGAGCGTAAAGTATTAATCTAAAATATCCATCCTGAACCATAATTTCTTTCCATTAAAAATACCAGGTTTGTAAAACCAATTCAAGCTTATCTAACATTCAAATTTGAAATCCCACCTCGATGTTAGATTTACAGATTTCTATTATTGCTCTTAGACCTGTGTACAAATTGTATGCAAGGAAATTTTAAAACCTCAGAAAAGAGTTATTAGCTGAGTGAGTGCTTAAATAATATGGAAAGAGAATAACGTATAGATGGACTTGGTGTTTAGTAAAGGCAACAGTAGTATACCTCTGTTCAATAGTCATAAATCAATTAGCGAAAACAAATCTGGGTCACAAACTAAAACCAAGGGAAACACATCAGCCACAAGAGAAAAACAACAGAACAACAGAAACACTGAACTGCAACATAATCAAACGCCAACATACATAGAAACGGACTTTCTGATAACAACTGCCATAGTCCTGACTTGGTACATGACATTTTAAGAAAAATGGTGGGTTGAAGCTGGTTTGATGGCTAGCCAAACCTCCCACTTATATCGATCAATGTTGAAAATTATGCTGCTTAAAGGAAAACATATATATGTGACAGGAAGATAGTACAAATAAACGCAAGAACATGTAAAGGGCAGAGGAATACATAAATAAATAATATAACAGTACATTACAACATTAAAATTTGCGAAATCATTCATGGCCTAGTGGACATTAGGACAACAATGACTACATATATGATGGTCTTCGAGTGAAATTTTGATAGTCCGGCAAGTGTATGCATTAAAAGTTTGGCAATCAATTATGTTAAAGGGTTGAAATACGATATTGACCAATTTGCCTAATGATTATAATGGTTGCATACAAAAGATTAATAAACATTTATAATTGGTCAGAAAATAAATGGAGAATGTGTGTATGAACCACAGATACCCCTGATTGTAAATATGCATGAGTCAACTTTCAGACGCATGATTCATGTGTTTAAGTCCATTTTGTTATTTTAAGCATTGTGTATAAGTTTCATAATATTTGGTTGAGGCAGAGTACTAAAGTAAAAGAACAGAAACGAAAATGTATCCATTTTTATGTTCATAAAGGTGCATAACTCATGAACAGTAAAAATGACGCCACATAATTTCAAACCTGGTCGTTGTTTTGTGGTAATCAACATTGTGTATAAGTTTTATAAAATTTGGTTGAAAGCATTAACTAAAGTAAGAGAACGGAACTAAAAAATTCAGCAATATTTATGTTTATAAAGGGACATATCTCATGAACAGTAAAAGAGACGCCACACAGTTTCGAACTGTTTTTTTGTGTTTGTAAGCATTGTGTATTAATTATAACATTTTGTTGAGGCAAACCAATTTTGGGGATGTACGTGATGTACAGATGAGCAAATTAAGGTAACTTTCCACATAAGACAGGGGCTTAAAAAAAGAAAATAACCATAAACTCTTAATCAGACAAGATGACCACCTGACCACACTTAAAACTTATTGCTGTCAACATCATTTACAATATGATTCAGACTCTGGAATCAATACTTAGGATTTGGTGTTTCCAGCAAAAATTGTGTACTCCTAGTTTTTTTGGTAAAGATTTATTCCTTCATATTTTGATCTTTTCGTGTCATTGACGGAGGATCTCTATTATATAGAACACCGTGGATTAAAGGTCAGACATTTTCTCAAATTTTTATGAAGTACATCGATCATATAAGAAAACGATTTTCCAACCCAACGATAGTCATGGATGGCTACAATAGTTCATCAACAAAAGACATCACTCACTTCAGAAGAAGCAAATGAGCACAATCAAACACAACCACATTCACAAGTGATATTCCATTACGAATTAAGAAAGAAAAATTTCTCTTAAACCAATCTAACAAACAAAGATTTGTTGAAATTCTGATGGATACATTTCAAGAACATAGCATCGAGGCTATCATACAAGCCAAAGAAGATGCAGATTTACTTATCGTTAAGACAGCTGTAGAAAAATCAATTAGACAACAAGTTCTGATATACAGAGAAGACACTGACTTGTTTGTACAGCTTTGTCATCTTGCAGAAAAGATTTCTCATTGCATATTCTTTACCACTGACAAGCACAGTTCGATGAAAAATTCAAAGGTTTGTGATATACAAAAAACACAAGTTCTTGTTGAAGATGTGTGCCTTCAACTTCCTATTGTTCATGCCATTACTAGTTGTGACACAATAAGCCGATTGCATGGAATAGGTAAACCTGCCGTATTGAAAAAAAATAAAATCAGACCATCATCTTCAGACTCAAGGAGACGTTTTTTCTAAAGTCGTTGACTCTAAACTTGTATGGTGGCATGCCCTTAGAAGGACTGGGTATACTTCGTTGAAGAAAATGCACCACAAAAACGATGGCACTAAATAGATCATCTATAGTGCAAGTTCAGACTCTCCCACCAACTTCCGATGCTGCAAAGTTTCATTCTATGCGAGTTTATCTTCAGTGTCAATATTGGAGGTGGAAAACCTCTGAGGAAATGGACCCCCTGCAATGGGGTTGGACCGTGAAAAATTAAGAACTCTTTCCTATTGAAATGACAAAGCAGCCAGCCCCTGAATTCCTCTTGAAGATAATTCACTGTAATTACAAGACTGATTGTGACAACCATACGTGTAGCTGTCGCCAGAATGGCATTTCTTATTCCAGTGGTTGTGGGGAGTGCAGAGATATAAACTGTTGAAACTCAAAACTCGAACTAGAGGAACTTGATGTCGAAGAAAATGAGGACATATGACCATATAATTGTCTGAGTGATTTTGCTGTTGCTAAAATTTGATCATTAATTGACTAATGATAAGGCAATCGCTAAACTATTCTTGGGTAAAAAAAAATTAAAAAATAAAGATTTTTCAAGATTCATTTTTCGATTACCAAATTCATTAAAAACATTATGTTGTAATACACAACAAACAGACTTTGATAGTAGATAAAGAGATATAATGTGCTAAAAAAACAGTTTTAGAAGTTTAATCATGTTTCAATATGACAAACATTAAGATTCAGCTTTCAAACGAAAATCCCATTACATTGAAACATTTTCCACGGGTTTAGCTGGTTAATATATAGACAAAATGATTGCATATAAATGTCTTACTATCTTTTAATAATTCATTCATTAAGGTTCTTCATTCTAGCGAAAAAAGAATCAGCATTAATTTAGTAAAAACAAGAGTGCACACGCTGAAATGTCTCGCCTTCTTTACTAATCATTGATATTATGTTGATAGTCCTAAATATAAAGCTTTATTACAACTGTCACATAAACTTAACATTAACCAAGTAAACTAAACATTGACCAATGAACCATGAAAATAAGGTCGAGGTCAGATGAACCATGCTAGATAGGCATGTACAGCTAACAATTCTTCCATACAACAAATATAGTTGACCTATTGTTTATAGTTTAAGAAAAACAGACCAAAACACAAAAACTTAACACTGAGCAATGAACCTTGAAAATGAGGTCAAGGTCAAATAAAACCTGCGTGACTGACATATAGATCATAAAATATTTCCATACACCAAATATAGTTGAACTATTGCATTTAGTATTTGAAAAAAAGACCAAAACTCAAAAACTTAACATTGACCACTGAACCATGAAAATGAGGTCAAGGTCAGATGACACCTGCGAGCTAGACATGTACACCTTACAATCATTCCATACACCAAATATAGTAGTCATATTGCATACAGTATAAGAAAAACAGTCCAAAACACATAAAAATGCTCCGCTGGGGCGCAGCTTGATACGACCGCAGAGGTCGAACCCTGAACAGTTGGGGAAAGTATGGACAGAACATTCAAGCTTGATACAGCACTGAATTCGGATTGTGATTAAATATTTGACACAGCATAGGTTTCTGACACAGAATGAATGTGGTCTAAGAACTTGAATTTTTTTAATTTACCTATTCAAACCATATCATTATTATTTGCTTTTATATAAATCAGAAATAACCAATTTAAAATGGAAAATTTTAAAGAAAAAAAAAATCCCTCCACTAAATTTTTTGAACCCCTTTATGATTCATCACCCCCAAACTCAATCCCAGCCTTCCATTTGTGGTATGGTACCTTGCAGTACAATTTCAGAGAGATCCATACACTTGAACACAAGTTATTGTCTGGAAACTAGAAAAATGCTTGTTTTTAGGCCCCTTTTTGGCCCCAAATTCCTAAACGTTTAGGGCAATTACCCCCAAACTCAAACCCAGCTTTCCTTTTGTGATATGGAACCTTGCAGTACAATTTCATAAAGATCCATACACTAACACACAAGTTATTGTCTGGAAACTAGAAAAATGCTTGTTTTTAGGCCCCTTTTTGGCCCCAAATTCCTAAACGTTTAGGGCAATTACCCCCAAACTCAAACCCAGCTTTCCTTTTGTGATATGGAACCTTGTAGTACAATTTCATAAAGATCCATACACTTACACACAAGTTATTGTCTGGAAACTAGAAAATGCTTGTTTTTTGCCCCTTTTTGGCCCCTAATTCCTAAAATTTTTAGGCAATTACCCCCAAAATCAATCCCAGCCTTCCCTTTGTGGTATGGTACCTTGCAGTACAATTTCAGAGAGATCCATACACTTGAACACAAGTTATTGTCTGGAAACTAGAAAAATGCTATTTTTGGCCCCTTTTGGGCCACTTATTCCTAAACGTTTTGGGCAATTACCCCCAAACTCAATTCCAGCTTTCCCTTTGTGATATGAAACCTTGTAGTTCAATTTTAGAAAAATCCATATACTTACACACAAGTTTTTATCATGAAACTAGAAAAATGCTTGTTTTTTGCCCCTTTTTTGGCCCCTAATTCCTAAAATTTTGAGGCAATTACCCCCAAAATCAATCCCAGCATTCCCTTTGTGATATGGAACCTTGTGGTACAATGTCAGACAGATCCATACACTAACACACAAGTTATGTCTGGAAGTTACAAAAATGCTTATTTTTGGCCCCTTTTTGGCCCCTAATTCCTTAACTGTTGGTACCATAACCCCCAAAATCAATCCCAACCTTCCTTTTGTGGTATTGAACCTTATGGTAAAATTTCATGGAGATCCATTCACTTAAACTAAAGTTAGAGTGCGAAAACCAATGTGTCTTCGGACGACAACGACGACGCCAACGTCATACCAATATACGACCAAAAAATTTTTAATTTTTGCGGTCGTATAAAAACTTAACTATAACCACTGAACCATGAAAATGAGGTCAAGGTCAGATGACACCTGCCAGTTGGACATGTACACCCTACAGTCCTTCCATACACCGAATATACTAGACCTATTGCTTATAGTATCTGAGATATGGACTTGACCACCAAAACTTAACCTTATTCACTGATCCATGAAATGAGGTCGAGGTCAAGTGAAAACTATATATAATAATAATAATAATAATAATAATAATAATAATAATAATAATAATAATAAATTCTTTATTTAAAGAGGGTAAAATCAGTTAGTTACAATAAACTAATCTTCCCTGAGGCCCTCACATACAAATTACAATACAATCAAAAACAGATATTTACACATAGTTAATTTACAGTCAATTAGTTCAATGTAATATTACTAACATGATAAGATATAAGGCTGTTCAAGATGCACATGTAGTCAAAAAATCAAATAAAAATAAAAATAAAAGAATATACAAATCCATTGTAGAAAACATAATCTTATCAGGACTGTGTTAAGTACTTCTTGATACTTTGTTTAAAAGTATAAGTGTTTTGAGCTTTACGCATTTTGTGTGGCAGTCCATTCCATAACACTGATCCAGAATAAACAAAAGATTTCTTAAATAGCTCAGCTTTTGGCTTAGGAACTATCATATTACCTTGAGTGACACCTCTCAAGGAGTAAGGATTATTATCTGATTTCAGTTTAAACTTTTGAACTAGGTACATTGGAGCTTCCATACGCATACATTTATATAGAAGTAAATATTTGTGGTATTTGATTCTATTGTCAACTGTCATCCACCCAAGTTCTTTAAATAAGGGGGCTGAGGGGGATAAAGGATCTGCATCTAGAATTAATCTTGCTGCCCTTTTTTGGAGTTTTAAAATTCTTGTTATCCCTTCATTTTTACATTCACCCCAAATAATACAGCAGTAGTCAATCAGGGGCAGAATATACCCATTGTAATATGTTTTCCTTGCATTTATATCTAAAAATTTCTTTATTTTAGAAAGAAGGTATATTCTGGATGATATATTAGCACAAACTTGGTCAATTTGATTTCTCCAGCTAAGTGTGCTGTCAATTTTAACACCTAATAATATTTCACATGAAGAATTTTGTAATACTTTTGAATTTATTATCAAGTTTGGTTGATAAGTCTGAATTGATAGTTTCTGCTTTGTTCCAGTAACCAAACATTTTGTTTTGTTTGCATTAATGAACATGTTATTCATTTTGCACCACTCTTCAACCCTGTATAAATCTTCTTGAACATCATCATGTATATTTTCTATGTTTTTCCCTGATTTATGAAGAGTGGTGTCTGTCTGACAGGCATGAGGACCTTGCAATGTACGCACATACCAAATATAGTTATCCTATTACTTATAATAAGAGAGAATTTAACATTACAAAAAATCTTAACTTTTTTTTCAAGTAGTCACTGAACCATGAAAATGAGGTCAAGGACATTGGACATGTGACTGATGGAAACTTCGTAACATGAGGCATCCATATACAAAGTATGAAGCATCCAGATCTTCCACCTTCTAAAATATAAAGCTTTTAAGAAGTTAGCTAAAGCCGCCGCCGCCGCCGCCGAATCACAATCCCTATGTCGAGCTTTCTGCGACAAAAGTCGCAGGCTCGACAAAAATGACTGAATTTTAGAGTTTTCCCGGTTTTTCACAGTTTTACTTTCAAAATCTCATTTTGTACCCCAAAATGACTCTTTTCCGCAAAATATATTTTTGTATATTTTTACTAGATGATGTATAGGTACATAAACTTTAGTTTTTACCATTAAAACTATTTGTTGCAATTAGTGTGAGGTAAAAATCAACCTTTTTTAGAACAGATTGACTAGACTATCAATATTGACACAGATGGATGACTTCATACTAAAATCTATGACAAACAGATGATTCAATTTTCCTATTATCAATTTCCCATTTCTCAGCAGTAACATACCATCTGCTCCATCGTATGGTTGTACATATCTCAATTGATACGTTGTGCTCCTGCATGTTCACACTTTACGGACTTCATATACAAGAGTGTGGCCCCTACGCAGAACTGCTCCAACAGTGTTATAAGGAGGAAAGATTAAAAATGACACTCCATAAATTTCATGATCATCATCACGTTCAACAGGTTGATCTAAACAATTAATGTGTCTGTATCTAAACTAACTAAAAAATTTTTTACCACGTCTTAGATTGAGGTTTAACATCCATGTCGTCTTTCTGCTAAGTACCGAACGTGATCTATTCCCGAATATGACTGTAACATATCGAGTGTGAATTTGCAATGCTATACGACGTGTTTCGGTATTTTGTACATGTACAACATCAGTGGGGTAGCTAGGCAATTTTTTAGTTTATGCCCGAACCTCAGAGAGGGTCTAGTGGCTCCAACATACCCCATCCAGTCCATGACAGAGCTTGTGTGCAGGTTCCAGAGGACCAACCCCCCAGGCAGCTCTAGCGTTATCAAGAAAGAGATATTACTAGTTTCTTTTAAAAACTGATCAATAGCAACATACTTTGGAGACGTATTTGTTTATTTCTTATCTTTAGTATACTGATTGTGTTGATTTGAAATATAATGGTCAATGGTTTTAGAGAAACAGTTCTAACCAGTTACTGTGAAACATGTTTTCCAAGATTTAGATATTTTATTTTTACACGGGAATCTTTACACCAAAATTACTGATAAAAGAGACGATTTTCTGTTCACTATTGATGATTTTCCTTTTTTAGACTGTAATGTTCCTTTGGAAACCCTCTAACTGGGTTTATATATCCCAACACGGTTGCTATGCCCATGTATGTACGTTTTGAATTTCAATGAACGTAAATTATGGACTACAGTAAATTATAAAGTAAAGGATTTCGTTACCACAAATTACTAAAAACCTAATTCTTTCAAGGATACAAAGAACGGGTTAAAAGTTTGGCTGTACCCGTAGAAAACTTATTAAAACATTCATGTATTTATTTTTGATATTTCTGTTATGGTTTCGGTTCGATAATATGTTTTGTCTTATCGTTTGTAGTCCAAATAATTATAAAATAGCCTTTCAATGCCGTCATTGTCATGAATATTGTTTGGAATGGTATTAGGGAAATAATTGAATAAAGTTCAAGATTGCATGTTTGTAATGTATTTGCGTCGCTGTTTGTATTGGTGTATGTCGTTTATGGAAGATGTTCGCTGTTGTTCTGCGGTTTGCATGGTGTCGACCATATTATTTGTTTGTTCGTTTCTCTGTGATGATCGTTTGTGCTGTATTTAACATTGCCATGTAGGCCGGAGCTTTGGCTAGCATTAAACCAGGTTCAACCCACCATTTATTCTTTAAATGTCCTGTACCAAGTCAGGAATATGGCAGTTGTTATGAAATCGTTCGTTTCTATGTATGTTGGTGTTTGTTTTTCTTGCATTTTAGTGTTCCGTTTGTTCCTTTGTTTTCCTCTTTTTGTTGTGTTTCCCTCTGTTTTAGTTTGTAACCCGGATCTTGTTTTTTCTCTCAATCGATTTATGACTTTGAACACCGGTATACTACTGTTGCCTTTATTCATGATCTAGGATTAGATGTGTAAATCGACATAATACACCCAAAATTCGAATAGTCTGTTACAATCTCTTGAACTTTCATATTGATGACAAAACTTTCAGCGTTAAAATAACATTTTGAACAGTCACTTAAAAATCTTTACCTGCTAAATGTTTTGGCACTGTGAAAGCCTTTTGCTTAAATTCCAATACACATCTAGCTTCATTTACTGCATTATGTGACTAAAAAAAAGACTAACATCAATAAAAAATCCTTCTCATTTCTGGAATGTTTCCTAGAATTATCTTAATAAAGTGATATAAATCATATATGAAAGACAGTTAAGTGAGAAAAAGCTTTTATTTATCACTTTAGTGGTCACCATATATATTTATGCACAAGTGTTCACACCATAGAAGACGTTCTCTCTTGATTCATAGCAAAAATTAGTACATTGCAAAAATCAGTGATTTATACAGTATATTGTAAAATAGTAACTTCTGCAGTCCTATAATGGTATGGTGATGTCGTCGTCTGTGTCTATGTCATTGTCATCTAAAGTGTGTATTTAGATTTTTAATTTTGAGCATGGTTTTAGAATTGGTCCACATTAAGGTCCAAAGGGTCCAAAAATAAACTTAAGTTTGAATTTCACAGAAATTAAATTCATGGGTTTTTTTTATATGCTGAATCTAAACATGTATTTAGATTTTTTATATTGGACCCAGTTTTGAAGTTGGTCCAAATCGGGGTTTAAAATTCAGTGTGTGAAACCTTTTTTGTCGAGGAGCTTTTCATTTCAACTCGCCAAATTGAAATCCCACTTGCCAGCTTGGCGAGTTTCCAAAATTTTGAAAGATTATTTTGGTGACCTTTTCCTTCCTTTCGTGTTATTTAAAAGCTGAATAAGTAGGCTTCTTATTTTTCCATGTCCCCCCAAGGGTGACTGGGGGATAGAAGTATGGTCACCATTGGTCTTCCTCCGACCGGCAGTAAAACCCTCGCAAAGTGGGGCGTCCGTATGGCTGTGCGGGATGTAGCCATGTCCGGTCAGAATTGGGACGTTAAATCTGATGCCTTCAGTTGTGTAAAGAGAGTGCCACGCTTTTTGCACGTTCAAAGAACCCTTGCAACAGCTCTTTGTGGGGGTCCGTACATGTAGGTGACCTGTTGCAAGGCTAAATTTATGTTCCTATCCAATATACCCCGTGGCAGTCTAAATTTCTCCGATCTTAATCCCCGACGCTTCTATCACAGAACGTACCTATTGTATTTATTGTTAATTTGTACTCGTCCTGAATATGCATGAAATATTTGCCACTGGACGTTAAGCAACCAACAATCAACCATATTTTTTCATGCTGTTTTACATTATTAGAATAAAGTTTTTGTTTACTGTTTATAAGAAATTTACTCTCGATTCAATCTTCAAAACATATTTTAAAATTACATTGACAACATGCAAAAAGAAAGTGAAAGTAAATTTCTATGTCTATAAAACACGTTTTGATTAGTTTAAGTTTTTCATACAACTGTCATCTAGCTAATCAGAACACATGTAACATAATACCCTTACAGAAATGAAAAGTTTGCTGCAATATTGCAACAATATAGCGGCAATATTGCAGCAAACAAATTTGTTTGCAAGAAGTGTTTGCAAGAAAGTTGCAGGTTGTCGCAGCTACCTGCAACATTCTCGCAATGTTACTGCAACAAAATTTGTTTGCAAGAAAATTGCAGCAAGTTTGCTGCAATGTTGCAAGAAAGAATTTGTTTGCTAGAAAGTTGCAGGAACCTTTTCTTTTATTATTTAAGGAATGACTTTTTGCAACAACTTTGCAAGAAAAGTTTCTTTAATAATGTCAGACAATCAGATAGTTTGCACCAATATTTCAAGCATTTTAAAATATTACATATGATTATTTGTTTTAAGATTTAAGGTTCAAATAATACACAACATATTGTTTCTTTGAACATTTGGTTATGGATACTTCTAACTATCTAAATTTGTTGTCGTCATACTTTATTTTACTCAGAAATATCTGGATATTTGAATAATTTATTTTAAATAAATTTTCAAATAACAATGCTTATATTTTTAGAATTCCTAAACTGTACATCACATTTATATGATATTTTGTAAGGAAAGAATTTCAAGAATACTTTGGTATTCATTTCAACAAGTTTAATCTAAATAATTGAGTCATAATAATTTTTGTTCTACATGTATTATAATTATGCTTTTTTGTCAATTTTTTGTGACATTTTTCTATGAACAATATTTTTAATTCTAATATTTTCCATCAAATGAATTTAGCCTCACCTGCAGGTTGCATTTTGTTTAATTTCTAGTATCATTATTTTAAAACTATGTATACACAAATTATCTTTCTCATCTCAATTAGTAATATGAGCTGGTGATAGAAATGTAATGTGCCATCTGGTTTCAATTTATTTCTGTGTAGTGGTAAAGACAGGAAGTACCATAAATTAATGTACACAGAGTTTGAGGCCAAATTAAGGGTAGAGCATTTCTTCTTTGTATATATTTCCATTATAACTTATAACATCAAAGATATAAAAAAAAAATATATATATAATTATTTTTTTATTATAATATATAACAAATATTCAAGATTTAGGCAATTGATATTTATAATTAGGGGCAAATTTCAAAGGGATCACACTGTCACAATACCCTAAGCAACCTTGATCAACATATTCAAAATTTGAACTGGACATGAACATGCATACAACAAACAAAGATGTCTTCTATCATGAACAAAGTAATATGAATTTTACAATGGATTTAGATCCAAAAGTTCCAATTAATTCTATTGACACTGGATAGTGCATATGATAGCCTTCAGTTGACATGGCTCTTGGATTTAGGAAGATTGGTGTTTACACATAATTTGGATAACATCTTTTGGTAAGTACAATGGAGTTGAATGTCCACCATTTTGAATAAGTGCTTGCTCTTACAGTTCAAAATAGTGATATTCAAAGAGTTTTCTTAACTTAATAGAGTTGACAAATTTGTATAAGACAATAGATTTATGCACATGAATATTATTAAAATTGTGTAAGTCAGGAGATATTTTTTTAAATCTATTTAAGACAGAGACATATAATATTATATGTCTCTGTTTAAGACTATATGTTTTAGAAAGTACATTACTTAAATTGAAACAAGAAATCTTCTAATAAAAGCAGTTTGGTATTAAATTAGAGATCTGTGATTTGACTGCCAATAAGAGGTCTTTCAACAAATGGCAACAATATTTAGCTTTTATATATACACAACTAATCACAAAAATTTTAAAGAATAGACAAGACCAATTATGTTATAGTTCAATGAAAAACAAATATTCAAAAAAGCAATAATAACCTAGTACTGGCATAAGGTTAAATGTATAGTAATATGCAATTTCTAGAAGGACTTGATAACTTTTAGACATTGACCCTTTAAGTGAAACAAATGCTGGAAAAATTGGTTTGTAATCATCTCTTTATAAAGAGTTATTTTCATTTTACAAGTCCAGAATTTGCAATATATAGTAGTAACTTATATCTTTATATCTTTATAATGTTTAGTTATTCTTTTAATGTATGCTAAATTCTTCAACTTTTATTTTGCAGTATTTGAAATCAGAAAATTCAACTTTAAGGACAGTGAGTACAGAGAAACAGAACTAAAGGATACACAGATATGTAACACAACAACCTATAGAGGACAGAGAAAATTTTGTTTTATTATTAAATCATACTTTTTTAAATGCTTAGTTTTTAATTCCTAATTTTTCAACTGAAATTGTTGAAAGACTAATGCTGCAATATTGCTGCAATATTGCAAGAAATTAATTTTCCTGCAATATTGCTGCAACATTGCAGCTAATGAATTTGCCGCAATATTGCTGCAACAATCATAGCTGCTGATTTTCCCGCAAACGTTTGCTGCAATATTGCCGCAAATTGTTGCGGCAATATTGCAGCAACTGTTTGCAAGAAAACTAATTTGCATACGAAAAATGAATATTTGCAGCAATATTGCCGCAAATATTTGCAGCAACATTGCCGCAAATATTTGCAAGAAGCCTTATTTTTCCATAAGGGTATGTATCATCTGGGTTCCTGTTTAAACAGAAGTCATGGATGACAGTATAGATTTTGCGGGAAAACGATCTTTTTGCTTGCATTGCTTCAAAGTCGCCGCAGAAGAGTCACTCGCCACAAGGGCGAGTTCTATTGAATCTGGACTCGCCAAATACAATTCTTACTCGCATTTGGCGAATTGGCGAGCGGAGGTTTCACACACTGCAATTAAATTTTGTTTGATTTAAAAAAAAAATAAATATATGGGGTTCTTTGATATGCCAAATCTATTCTAATATAAAAATAAGAAGATGTGGTATGATTGCCAATGAGACAACTTTGAACAAGAGACCAAATTACATAGAAATTTACAAATATAGGTCATCGTATGGCCTTCAACAATGAGCTGGTAGGAAGAAAACTTAACTTGCGCACAAAGAAGCATGAAAATGAGGTGTAGGTCAGACAGAGTGACCTTGCCAGACAGATATTTACACCCAACAATCATTCTATAATAGTGGATATATTGCTTAAAATTTCGTAGATACAGACACAGAAAATGTAGTTGGCCTATTGCTAAAATATCTGCCAGACAGACAAGTACACCTTTTAAATATTTCATACAACAAATATAGGTGATCTGTTGCTTAGCGAAACAGAACCTTGACCACTGGTCCATGAAACAAGGTCAAGGTCAAGATTAATGGACCTTGAAATTATTCTATTTACTCAATATAATGTCCTCTCGTAATAAATAAGAAAAGAAAATGTAAAAAAAAATAGTTCATTTAAGCAATTGCTTTTATACAGTCAAGTAGCTGAGATGCCATTACATTATTCACACTCCCACCAGGATTTGCATCCCTATGTCTCACAGGTGACACAATAAATTATGATTAAATCTGATATTTTCCAAACATGTTAAGGATGTACTTACCGGTAGGTGAAACTTAAAAAAACCTAGAATTTAAAATTGATACTATAAGTCGGAAGAGCATTAGTTAAGGAACAAAATAAGCTAAAAATATTGGTAGGTTATGGAGCTCCTTTTCGAGATTTTTAATTTTCTAAAAATGGCGGGAAAAGTCTGACTCAGACTTTTACCTTATATTTGCATTGCTATTATTTGGGTCTCAAATCGAAAGAAAAGTAATTTAGAATCTGCTTAAATTTTGATAAATGACCTTTTTATGAGCTATTGAATCCTTACATGAAAAGAAGAAGTGGGTGTTATTGGGCAAAATATTTTACCCTGCATCGTAGAAAAAAAACCAAGGCGTCGGGATCGAACATCTTACAAAAATTCCTAAACCTGACCTAAGTACATCCTTAAGAAACAAATTGAGCCAGTAAAACAATACTTTACAAGTCAAATGTTCCATGGTCCAATACAAATCTAGTACATTACCTCACCAATTACTGTAAATCTGTATCCATCTGGTTGTTTCTCATTTCTAACAAACAACACTCCTTTAATTTGTCTGGATTTTTTTATGTTAGCTCCTTCCCTACCAATGGCCAGTCCCATCAAGTTAAAAGGGACCATGAATATTTCTGTATAAACAGGCTACAAAATATCATCAGATATCCCTTATTGCAACTTAAAGTGCAATCAATAATACTGTAAAATTGTGATATTCCTTATTCTGCTTTCCTGGAATTCCATCTTAAGACTTCAATTTAATCTTAATTAAAGAACAGAGTTCTGAAGTCCCCCATGATGCACATATTTTACTTTTACTGTCCATTTGCAATAACTGAAGGTTAAAAAATTGTTTTGTTATTTGAAACGTTTTACAAATTAAATTCTTACAGAAATGTAGATTTGAGAGTGCTTGCAATGCAATTTTCCGTATTAACAATATTTCAAAGGAGCATAACTCTTTAAAAAATAGTTGATCAACACTGATTTCCAAAATTACTGATATAAATTTTTGATATAAATTTCATAAAAATGTGACAAGAACTGTACACATGAGAGCACTAACAATGCAATTTTCCATATAGTCAATATTTCCTAGGGGCATAACTCTTTGAAAATAGGCACTAATTTTCAAACTTTTTCGAGAAATTGCTGTTATAAATCTTTGATATAAGTTGATAAAAATTTGGCAAGAATTGTACATGTAAGACTGTGCTTACTATGCAATTTTCAATATAATTAATATTTCTAATGGACATAACTCTTTTAAAAAATAGTTGAAAGGCACTGAATTAAACAGAATATAATTTGTCTGAGACAATGCTGATATAAACAATGAATATAAATTCAAGAGTTGTACATGTGAGATACACTGGTTGCTTATAGACTTACAAGAACAGACAGGCAGACAGACAGATAGACACTGGTATTTCTTTGTCCCCTAAAAAGCGTTGTGGGGAAAATGTTGTTTACCCCGTATTAAAAACATGCTTAAATACAGTTAGCAATCTCCAGTAATATGTAAGCATAAACTCAGATACATATTTTTAACTGTCAGAGGAATTACCTGAATAAGTGATTTAAAAATAAACTGTTTAACACAGAGATATGTCTCGCCTATATATTATTTTGATAATGCAAATGTTGAAATTAAAATAGCAATACTTTAACATGTAGGTTATGCAAGTATTCAAAGTCAATGAACCATGCATGACTGAAGGTACAGGGCTAAACAATCTCCATGGAAATGAGATGTGCCAATGCTAATACAACTGCAAACCAAATACCATTGACTTCTCTTAAGTCGTTCACTTTAACATGTTTTGATTGAGTTAAGCCATTTCAATTGATATTTTATAGTGTGTCTTTCTATTATGTGATGTTACACTATTGTTTCAGATAAGGGTGAAGGTTTGGTACCATTAAAACGTTTAAACCCGCTGCAATTGTTTGCACCTGTCATAAGTCAGGATTCTGATGTTCAGTAGTTGTCGTTTGTTGATGTGGTTCATAAGTGTTTCTTGTTTCTCGTTTTTTATATAGATTAGACCGTTGGTTTTCCCATTTGAATGGTTTAACACTAGTAATTTTTGTGGCCCTTTATAGCTTGCTGTTCGGTGTGAGCCAAGACTCCGTGTTGAAGACCTTACTTTGACCTATAATGGTTTACTTTTCTAAATTTTGACTAGGATGGAGAGTTGTCTCATTGGCACTCATACCACATCTTCTTTTATCTACTAAACACAAACATTAACTTGTAAACTATATAGAAGTTTCAAAGTCAAGGAACCATAATGAGGGGGTGGGATTATATAATCTCCATGGAAATGAAACTTGCAAATGTCAATACATTTGCATACGGAATATCATTGACTTAACATTAGTGGTTCATCTTAAACTGACCTAATCACAAACTAATACATGTAAACTAAGCAAAAGTTTCAAAGTCAATAGACCATGACTGAGGGGCAAGGACCAAATATTCTCCATGGAAATGAGATGTGCTAATACTTATATAAGTTATACAACTGCATACCAATTATCACTGACGTACCACTAACAGTTCCCCTTAAACTGACCTAATCACAAACTAATACATGAAAATTAAGCAAAAGTTTCAAAGTCAATAGACCATAAATGAGGGGGCGGAGCCAAAAAATCTCCATGGTAATGAGGTATGCAAATGCTTATACAACTGCATACCAAATATCATTGACCTACCACTAGTGGTTCCCCATAAACTGACCTTATCACAAACTAATACATGTAAACTAAGCAAAGTTTCAAAGTCAATAGACCTTGCCCATGTTGACTGAGGGGGCGGGGCTAAATTATCTCCATGGTAATGAAATGTGCCAATGCTAATACAACTGCATATACCAAATATCATTGATATAGTGGTTCACCATGAACTAGACCTATAATCCCAAACTAAAACATTGTTGACGATGCTGCCGCTGCCGCCGCCGGAAACAGCATACCTATGTCTCGCTTTTTGACTCTGTCAAGGTGAGACAATCACTTGACTCTGTCAAGACAAGACAATCACTTATTTTTAAGTAGCAAATTAGAAATTCTATGATTTTGTAGATTAATATAGTGTACTATGTTGACCAAATAAAATCATACTATACATGCTATATGCACTTATTTTTTAAACTAGAATATTTTTTTAAAGATTTATGTTATGAGTTTTAAAAAAATTCACAGCCTACCTTGGTATCCATCTTGGTAACTCTACTATCAGAAGGTAATGGTTGACTTTAGTTAAAATCATTAAAACCTCACAAGGTTTAAAATTGTCATAAAAATCAATATGCTATCAGTATTTGTATTTTAGTCTGATAAATAATCGATCACTTGTGAGTCATATATTTAAAAAAAATGAAAATAAATGCTTGATATATATTAATTAGGTGGAACATTTTGATCCCTATTTGACGATCTTATCTATATACATACAGATTTCTACATGAAAATAAGGTTACTTTCATGAGGGTATGGATAGGGAGAGGTCTTTATTTCTATTTTCCATAATATTTATTTCTATTTTTCTGTATTTTTAAAATACTTGCATATTTTTCTCTATATTCTTTATATTTTTGGCATCCCATCATGTTCTTTTTTTATTTGTTTGCCTAGCTGTTTTCTTTATTCTTTCTTTTTTTCCATAGAGAATATATTATTATTATTAATATAAACACCTATCCATACCTACAAATATCTTCACCACAATCTGAGTTACATACTTATATTCACTGACTGACCAAATCATTGATGATTAAAATTTTGTTTATTTAGTAAATGAAATGTACCTGAAAACCAAATGAAATATTCCATCCTTAAGCATACCTGATTAGAAGTCTCATTTGGCCAATCTACTTGTACCTCTGCATCTTTATATTCCATTTCCTTTTTTTAAATCAATATCTGGACACAATTCTGAGTTAGACTCCAACAAAACAGGTCAATTTCCTACAACCATAAAAATAAAAAGTGCAAAAAAATAATGTTTCATCATCAATTGTGTTTCATTCATTAACAATAACTCCTTATCAAATGATTAAATTTGATACATTACTTTTTCACATTAATTCGACATTGAAGATGAACTACATTTTCTTTTAAAATGTTCTACGCATAAATATTTGAGAGATATATAACCTCATTAAAAAATTAGATAATGTTCTATTGAACAACAAATTACTGTCTTTATCATATGACTTCGCTCAAATTATATCAATTCTAAATAGTAATTCTCCAAAAGTATTAAAAATTGTTGTAAATTACATGTCATGAATGAATGCTAATGCTGGTAATAAAACTCATTGTCAAAAGATATTTGATTTTTATTAATTGTTTTCTCATACAATTATATCCTGGTGAGTGACCGTCATTCCTTCATTGTACATATATATATATGTTATTGTATTTTGTCTGTATTTTGTTGCCATATAAACCACTTTTTGTTAATTAATATGTTAGTGCTTATAAAGTTCTTTTAAAGATCTTAAATAGTAATTTATTATAAATTTTGATTTATAAAGGTAATATATGCAAGTGTTTCTAAAATAACGTGTTACAGCAGAGACATATAATATAATGTATAATATGTCTCTGGTTTATATGGTAGTTAGTCATTTCGTACCTTGACCATTTTGTTAACTCTAGCTGACATTTCGTACCTAAATTTACCATTTCATACCCAACATTTACCACTTTGTACCCATGATCAACACCATTTTGTACCCTATGGCCAGACTGCATTAACCATTTCGTACCTGACATAGACTAAATTCATGTTTACTTTTTATTTCATATATTTGTAAATAATATATAGTTGAAATTTTGTCCCAACATCAGTATTTGAGATTTTGTAAAATAAAAATGTATGCTGGTAATTCAAAAAAGTAAAGATCCCTCATACTGCCCCCATTATAAATGTATAAAGGGTTTTGTATTTAATGCATACTGGTCCATTCAACAAATTACACAGAATATATTATTGTTTGTTTTTTTTTTTGTTTTTTTTTTATAAATAGCATTTGTGAATAAGTAAAATATGCTATCAAACATTTTGAGATGAATTTGATTTAAAAAGAAATATAATAACATAAATAACATAAATAACATGCTTTCAGCAGTACAAAATTTCTAAAAACCTTTAATTGGTTTAATCTTGGGCTATATATCTGTATATATCATACTTATATCCTCAATATATTATGTCCCAGGTTTACTTTAAAGCAGTAAGGATTTATATGCAAACAAACAGAGTGTAATAGTTTATGAGACTTTGTTTGTTTGCAGGGTTTATATATATAAGATTATTATTTTTCAACTCTCAAAATATGAGGTTAATTAACTTTTAAGGACTAATAGAATTATTGTCTGGTAAAAATACAAAAAAGCTTTGTAACTTAGGAAAATATATACATTTCTCTTTTAAGGATGTACACCTCTGATCGAGCAGCCAAAAATTTCTAGAATTAAACTTTTTTTCTTAACCTGATTTTTTTGGTTTATATAACTGTAAAAAATAATTGATGAAGAAAAAATCATACGGTGGTGCACTTCTTTTTTTGCTACGGCCCTTTGAAAGTACCAAATTTTGATGATTTTCTCATTTTTCATTAATTTTTACCCATTTTTGGGCTATTATCGTGAAAAAAATCACAGTTCCACAATTAAACCTTTTCATACTTTCAATAAAGATGAAGTGGACCAATCTGAATAAATTTAACTTAAAAAAACTATAAGTAGGTGTTAATATAAGAAAGTTTTATCATATTTTAATGCTTGTTCGTGTCAAATTTACCATGTTCATGATGTTGTCAATTTTGTAAATTTGTGATTTTTCTCTATTTTATGAACAAAATGCTTATTATTTCAACTTCTTTGTTATAAATGATTGATAAAATATTTGAAAAGAAAAAAGTGATATGGGATGTACATATTTCTGGTAAAATCCTTTCTTGTACCCCTCACCCATTTTATCAAAATTTTGGCTAAAAAGACTGACTTGATTGGTAATAAAATTCAATAAAATGCTTCGCTGGGCGCAGCTTGATACGACCGCAGAGGTCGAACCCTGAACAGTTGGGGCAAGTATGGACACAACATTCAAGCTTGATACAGCTCTGAATTTGGATTGTGATTAAATATTTGACACAGCATAGGTTTCTGACACAGAAAGAATGTGGTCTTAGAACTTCAATTTTTTTAATTTACCTATTATGGTCCAATGTCCAAAATCAAAATACATGGTTAGATTCAGTATATCAAAGAACCCCATATATTCAATTTTTGTTGAAATCAAACAAAGTTTAATTTTGGACCCCAACTTGGACAAACTTGAAAACTGGTCCCATAATCAAAAATCTAAACACATGTTTAGATTCAGCATATCAAAGTACCCCAAGAATTCAATTTTTGTTAAAATCAAACTAAGTTTAATTTTGGACCCTTTGGACCTTAATGTAGACCAATTAAAAAAAACGGGACCCAAAATTAAAAATCTAAAAACACGGTTAGATTTGGCATATCAAAGAACCCCAATAATTCAATTTTTGATGAAATCAAACAAAGTTTAATTTTGGACCCTTTTGACCTCAATATGAACCAATTTGATAGCAGGCCCACAAATAAAAAATCTAAATACATGGTAAGATTCAGCATATCAAAGAACCCCATATATTCAATTTTTGTTGAAATCAAACAAAGTTTAATTTTGGACCCCAATTTGGACCAACTTGAAAACTGGGCCAAAAATCTAAAATCTAAATACATGTTTAGATTCAGCATATCAAAGAACCCCATATATTCAATTTTTGTTGAAATCAAACAAAGTTTAATTTTGGACCCCAACTTGGACCAACTTGAAAACTGGTCCCATAATCAAAAATCTAAACACATGTTTAGATTCAGCATATCAAAGAACCCCAAAAATTCAATTTTTGTTAAAATCAAACTAAGTTTAATTTTGGACCCTTTGGACCTTAATGTAGACCAATTCAAAAAACGGGACCCAAAATTAAAAATCTAAAAACACGGTTAGATTTGGCATATCAAAGAACCCCAATAATTTAATTTTTGATGAAATCAAACAAAGTTTAATTTTGGACCCTTTTGACCTCAATATGAACCAATTTGATAGCGGGTCCACAAATAAAAAATCTAAATACATGGTAAGATTCAGCATATCAAAGAACCCCATATATTCAATTTTTGTTGAAATCAAACAAAGTTTAATTTTGGACCCCAATTTGGACCAACTTGAAAACTGGGCCAAAAATCTAAAATCTAAATACATGTTTAGATAAATCATATCAAAGAACCCCATATATTCAATTTTTGTTGAAATCAAACAAAGTTTAATTTTGGACCCCAACTTGGACCAACTTGAAAACTGGGCCCATAATGAAAAATCTAAACACATGTTTAGATTCAGCATATCAAAGAACCCCAAGAATTCAATTTTTGTTAAAATGAAACTAAGTTTAATTTTGGACCCTTTTGACCTTAATGTAGACCAATTTAAAAAACGGGACCCAAAATTAAAAATCTAAATACACGGTTAGATTTGGCATATCAAAGTACCCCAAGAATTCAATTTTTGATGAAATCAAACAAAGTTTAATTTTGGACCCTTTTGACCTCAATATGAACCAATTTGATAGCGGGGTCCACAAATAAAAAATCTAAATACACGGTTAGATGCAGCATATCAAAGAACCCCATATATTCAATTTTTGTTGAAATGAAACAAAGTTTAATTTTGGACCCCAATTTGGACCAACTTGAAAACTGGGCCCAAAATCAAAAATCTAAATACATGTTTAGATTCAGCATATCAAAGAACCCCATATATTCAATTTTTGTTAAAATCAAACAAAGTTTAATTTTGGACCCTTTGGACCTTAATGTAGACCAATTTGAAAACTGGACCCAAAATTAAAAATCTAAATACACGGTTAGATTCGGCATAACAAATAAATAAATGTGGTCAAAGATTTTACAAATCTAATGCGCCATACTGGTCTTCCTTTATAAATATGCATTTCTTTAAACATAATTTAAAAGCAGTGTAAGGGAAGTAACCAAAACGTTGTATTTGGATTACCTCCCTTACACTGTTTTAAATTATCTTAATTGTTCATTAACCATTACTTTATACATAATTTAAAAGCAGTGTAAGGGAGATAATTTCAATGATGTATTTGATTTATCTCCCTTACACTGCTTTAAGTTATGTTTTGTACTAAAGTATTTGTCCATTAATGAAGACAACCTTGTTTTTCCCCCTTTTTTGCCCCTAATTCTTAAACGGTTTGAGCAATAACCCCCCAAAGCAAGAGATCCATACACCGTTCCACAGTTACTGTCTGGAATCTAGAAAATGCTTATTTTTGGCCCTTTTTTGGCCCCTAATTCCTTAACTGTTGGTACCATAACCCCCAAAATCAATCCCCACCTTCCTTTTGTGGTATTGAACCTTATGGTAAAATTTCATAGAGATCCATTCACTTAAACTAAAGTTAGAGTGCGAAAACTAATGCGTCTTCGGACGACGACGCCGGACGACATCGACGACGACGATGACACCAACGTCATACCAATATACGACCACAAAAATTTTTTTGCGGTCGTATAAAAACTACTTATTGTAAATACACAATTTTTTCACAGAGTTAAGTTTGATTATAACATTTTTTAAATTCGTTGATATTTTCCACTTGTATCACATGTTTTGGAAATAATTCCAGAACGAGATTTCAACAAGACTGAAACGTCAGAGGAATACATCCTTAAATTAAGAAACAGTTTATTGTAAAGATATTTTGTAATCATGAAACTTCTGACATCACTTATCATGCCTATTGTTATTTATGCATATATTGTTAATTCATATGTAATTAGGAGATAACTGTATTGTATTTCAATTAAGCTTTGACTGCATCAATTGGTGATTTGATGGTCAGAAATCAAGTTTACTGGTGTTGAATTAGCGAAGCCTAATTAAGTTAATCGGTATTTGTGACCATCAAATCACCAATTGATGCCGTCGGAGCTTAAATATTAGAATACAATATTGTTATCTCCATTCTAATGAAACTGACAAAAAACAACATCAAATCATACATTTAAAATCTGTCATACGTCATCTACGTTTGCTAGGAAATGCAGTGAAAAGGGACACACTAGTAACTTTTGGGGCCCTTTATAGCTTGCTGTTCGGTGTGAGCCAAGGCTCCGTGTTGAACACCGTACTTTGACCTATAATTTAATGGTTTACTTTTATAAATTTTGACTTGAATGGATAGTTGTCTCGTTGGCACTCATACCACATCTTCTTATATCTACAATCTGATATTCAGTCAATTGCCATGAATAAAAATGTTTGCTTAAGAATTTGCACCCCATGTGACCACTCAAAGAAAAATTTGCTACGGCTTTTTCAATTTGAGAAATTGCATGCTTATAAATAATATCTGATGGGTATGAAATGGCACTACATATAAATCTTCCCTAAGGTATGGAATGACAAACATATAAATATTCCATGAGGTACGAAATGGTATACATATAAATATTCCATGAGGTATGAAATGGTCAGGATACGAAATGGTTTTTAAAAAGGGGAAAAAATGGGGGTTACGAAATGGTAAGTGTACGAAATGACTATAATTCTTGTATATATATATATGTACTAAAGTAAATGATAAATTATGTGACTTTTTTTCTGAATTATTAAGAGAGATTTTAGAGAAAAACTTGTTAAATCAAATAAAGGAAAACTCATGACTTATTTTTCTAATTCAAAAATTTTTTTGGTACAGAAAAATATCTGGAATTAAAAGAATTTGTAAAAACAATGAAAAAGTAGACAAGCGCTTTCAAGATCAGAATTTAAATAAGTACACAACCCCTAAAAATAGAGACAGAGACATATATGCAAAAAACTATATAGATAAATCACAAAGATAATATGTGAAAAATGCATGTTGGATAAAGCTGAAGATGAAGAACATTTTATAAAACCAGGTTCAATCCACCATTTTCTACATTATAAAGGAAATGCCTGTACCAAGTCAGGAATAATGACAGTTGTTTTCCATTTGATTGATGTGTTTCAGCTTTTGATTTTGCCATTTGATTTTTGTGACTTTCCGATTTGAATTTTCCTTGGAGTTCATTATTTTTGTTATTTAACTGTTTTATATATGTCATTATGTCCCCTTTAAACATGTTAAAATCTCTTGAGAAAAGTTCTATGATAAAATTTTGATAAGTTGTAAAAATTTCAAATGTCATACATAAACACAGGAGTTTAATTGGCTTAATCATGTTAATTTTTATTCAAGAAAACCTAAGGGAATTGAAAAGTATTGCAATTAAAAAGTGAACAATGCAACAAGAAAGTGGTGAATGACTTAGTTATCTTCCATCCTGAGACAAAAATCACACTGATTATTGTTAATATCTTAACCTTTTCATTGGCTTCATCAACAATTAAGTGACACCTCACAAAGAATTTATAAATTCCTTTCTATGCAACTGATAACCTGTAACAGTCATTTTTACTACTGGTACTTACCTTGTAATGACATTGAATAGAAATATCTATCAAGAGCAGAATTGCTGTAAAGGTAAGTCTTTGTTGATGGATTATTATCAGGATAATATAATATGCACATGATCACAATTATAGTATAAAACCACAGTGCTGAGTGGTGACCATACATGCATGATCACAGTGGTGTGACCATACAAACATGATCACAGTGGTGTGACCATACAAACATGATCACAGTGGTGTGACCATACAAACATGATCACATTGGTGTGACCATACATGCATGATCACATTGGTGTGACCATACAAACATGATCACATTGGTGTGACCATACAAACATGATCACAGTGGTGTGACCATACAAACATGATCACATTGGTGTGACCATACACGCATGATCACATTGGTGTGACCATACAAACATGATCACATTGGTGTGACCATACAAACATGATCACAGTGGTGTGACCATACATGCATGATCACAGTGGTGTGACCATACATGCATGATCACAGTGGTGTGACCATACAAACATGATCACAGTGGTGTGACCATACATACATGATCACAGTGGTGTGACCATACATGCATGATCACAGTGGTGTGACCATACATACATGATCACAGTAGTGTGACCATACAAACATGATCACAGTGGTGTGACCATACATACATGATCACAGTGGTGTGACCATACATACATGATCACAGTGGTGTGACCATACATGCATGATCACAGTGGTGTGACCATACATATATGATCACAGTGGTGTGACCATACATATATGATCACAGTGGTGTGACCATACATGTATGATTACAGTGGTGTGACCATACATGCATGGTCACAGTAGAGTACGTGTGTGTTGTCAAAGGAAAGCCTTTTTCATTTCAGAATAAAAGTAATGACAACACTGGAGTAACATTGCATGATCTAAACCTTTCCATTTTCTAGATTTCTAAATAATACTCTGTTTTTATATTAATTAATAAATGTTTTAATTAAAGCTCAGAAAACTACCAATATAATTCAGATATGTTTATATGTATTACCCATTAGGAATATTAATTTGCCTGTTATCATGGTTATATGGCTCTAGTCTGGCTGTGGTTTATTTATTTAGATCTCAGAATTTAGTTGATTATAAATCATATTTCTCTAATTTTTCGTCAATTTATCCATTTCTGCACCCATTGTATAAAAAAAATTTAATCAACGTGTGGTTCGTTTGATCTCAGTTCTTCATTGGTTAAAATCTGATTATGACGTCGAATTTTCTTGGCTTTCCTCTGAATTTCCTATTGTGACGGCATGAAAAAAGGCGACCATGCCTGATGACGTCACATAGAAAGAACACATCTTTTTGCAGATCATTCGAAAAGAAGGAATAAATTTGCCTGCGTATTGTTTGAAAATCATAAGAGAAACAGATTCCACCACCAAATCTCGTGTAATACGATATTTATCCACTCTCGACAGTTAAATTTTAAATATTTAAAACGCTCGGCAAGCCTGAGGGCGTTTTAAATTTGAAAATTTAACTGTCTCGAGTGGATAAATATCGTATCACACTCGATGCAGTGGTAGAATCTATAATATTTATCACTAAAAGTATAATATATAAATTATGATTATAAAAATCATTTATTCAATTATTTAAATCATTGTAATAAATCACTTGACTCTTCAAGGGCAAGGGCCCTGTAATTTTCAATACAATTCCTTACTTTTTTTTTAATAAAAAATATCTTATCCTATATCTTAATGTAACAGGAATATTTTCAGTTAAAAATTGACAGACTGTAAAATGATAGACTACAATATTTCATACACTTCCTCACAATGTAGATATACAATTATTTGGTTTGTATATTTGTCTTTGTTTATTTTTGTATGTGTACTTTGTAATCGTCAGCTGGTACTGGAATTTTCTCAAATATTTTTTACAAGATGCACATGTTACCCACAGGCACTTGTTTCTATCCATGGGAAGCCCCACTATCAACGTATATTTTAAATATACGTTGATAGTGGGGCTTCCCATGGATAGAAACAAGTGCTCGTAAATATACGTTGATAGTGGGGCTTCCCATGGATAGAAACAAGTGCCTGTGATGTTACCCTGTCGTTCCATCATTCATACCAGAATATTCACACACGGCGTTGCTTGATTCACCTGGTTTTCAGATTTATCTCGTAAAACTAGGAATTCAATGAAAAAAAGGAAAAAGATCCAACAGCAGATAAGAAAATTACTTCTGATTCTTTCTTACCAATATACGTGTTCCATTTTACACCCACTACCAATCAAAAGATACTGACATAAATTGTCTGGAGCACCGGATCAGCGTTCAACATTAGGCAAAATCAAACACAGCCCCAGTTTCGAGATTGTAAAATCTGTTTTACGATGCATGCCATGTTGGTAAGTTCTAGCACAGGAGTTTGAAATCCTAGCAATAAAGGTGTATAAATATGCCAAACTCGACTATCACAGTAGAGCTTCTCTCGAAAGAGAAGCTCTACTGTGATAGTCGAGTTTGGCATATTTATACAAGAGAAGCTCTACTGTGATAGTCGAGTTTGGCATGATATTTATACACCTTTATTGCTAGGATTTCAAACTCCTGTGGTTCTAGACGTCCAATGTACCAATAATATTGCTTACATGAAATATTTGAATATGACTACTATTTTTTTCTAACTGCTGCGTCTTTCTATTATTCTGTAAAACTTGGCATTGTACAGGCTACGCCTACGCCAGGCTACGGCGTAAAACTAAAGAAGTACGGAAAGAAATGAGTATAACAAAGTTTATTCCTAATGGCAAGCATATTAATAAGTTACATGCATACAAACACAAACATACATCACATGCAAGCAAACATTCATTATTGTACTGATAATCAAATGGTTGAGAACAAATAGCATGACAAAGAGGGATAACTCTATTTGACAAATTTGATATTTATCTTGGCTAGATCTGACTCTGAGACTACTAGTCTCAGGCTAGATTTAAACTGAGTTGCAGCCAAGCTGGGAAATCGACTACGCAATTTTTCCTGTCATGCAGAAAATTTAGAGACTGAATGATGAATTTTTAAAATTACCTAGATTGCTGTAAACAGATAAGCCGGTTCCTTAGTATATAAATATAGTGTCATATGGCTTGCCCCAAACCAATTCCACCCCAAGTCAATTAGGCCTATCAGTTGATCCGGCCTAATTCATTGGGACCTCATATAAATGAAATTTTTCATAATTACTTTAACAGCCTGAGAGTTTTGTGAATTAAATAAGTATTTTATTCAGCATGTTCAGGGTAATTTAATAATTAGTGCATGGAAATTTGCACATATAGATGTTATGTAAATTTCGCTGATTATCAGAGGAATATTTTAAGGAAACAGTATTGATGACTAACTTCTGTAAAATTTGTTTTTGTAATAATTATTCATTATACATGATAGTTTGGATAGCTTCTAATAGAATATTGTAATCAACAGAAATGCTATATACTGGCATAATCATTAATACTCTTTAAATTGTGATAAAATGATTATTAAAGATATATATTACTTTTAAACAAATACATCTATATTTCAATATGTGTCGTAGCACAATTCTACTTAGAAATGTAAATATTGATATTTTAAAAAATTCTTAAAGACTACAGATATCTCATCTAGAATGAAAATGACATATATCTTAATGTGCTTCAAAGACACAATTTTTTATCGTCCAACATTGTTATTATTCTTAAAATTTATTTATCTTTATTTACTATAAGTCAATTATATATCACTTTTATTCCTTCTAAGCATTTTTATATAGGATCATATATGTTTGTAATAACATCAAAACATAATGAGTACCTCTCATCAGTTGTATTAATTTATGATGCAAAAAGTGTAGAAAAAAATATTCCCTTGAACTTGACAATCAGTCAGGGGTAAAACTTATGCAAGTGTTTTTTATTTACTGCTACATTTTGGATGTAGAGTTATATCCCTTAGACATTCAGATTTGTTTTAATTATAGAATTAAAAACAGTGATATTTTCTTTTTTTTTTGAAATTCTCTTGACTACATAATTTGCTCTGAAATAGAGTGTTTTATTGTTTGTCATTAATAGTTGTCTTTTTTATTCATAAATGTATAATTTCATGGACAATGAAAATCTCCTTTGTCTGTTAAACATCAAAATGCTGCTCATTTACAAGCCTATTAACTAATTCAAAATACTGCTCATTTACTACTCGTTTACCATGTTTACAAGCCTCCTGGAAGCAATTTTTGAAAGCCTTTCACAAATTTTCTTCACATCTGTTCACAAAAGTCTATCAGGTTATTTTTTGGGAAGATTACATGTACATGATGTAAGGGGTAATAATTTAAACCTTGAAAATAGAATAAAAATCGTACAAATTTACTTATACATGTAAATATTACTTTTAGTTATAAGTAAGTGTATTACCCCTGGCTGACAGTTGTAGGAACTTTACCCTACAATCCATTGCAAAAAAAAAATTCTCAGTTATAAATTGGAAAACATATTGAAATCTAAAAAAAATCATGCCTTTTAACTGAAATATTGCAAAAATGAAATATTCTGAGTTGATTGAGTCTCAAAAACATGTTTGAAGGGAAAATGCCTTGAAATAGGGCTCAACCATAAATATTAGTAGGCAGCGCAAACCTTCTCAGTGTTTTTGGCGTGCTTTTTAGCCATTTCTCCTTAATTAAGTATATTGGACCATAAAAGCTTTTTACTCTAATAAGTAAATGAAATGATTTTTGAAGCAGTAGCAACAATTTATAATCATGTATATATGCTGACGCTAAAAAGCAATCGGGGTAAACTTAAGTTTTACATTAGGACTTATTAGAACCTCTATGGACCGGCGTCAGTAAACTTTTTAGTGGATTATGTTCATTCAGCTTGACCATTTCCATTTATTATTATACTTCTAACATTGCTCATTAGTGTGTGATAGTTATCCAAAATTTTTATTAATTAGCCTTAAATGTTTTAAAAATGTTGATAGAATGAGAGATATAAATGGACCAAAAGGGACTTAATAATAAAGACAAAGAGGTACATGAGTGGTGTTTATCATTTTATACTTATAGTCTTCATTGTATCAATCATATTCAACAGTCATGACAGTTTTAATGCAGATTAGATGAAATTTTGATTATTGCTTGGTTTACACTATGTTCTATCATGATGCAGGTTATCTAGAGAGAACCAAGAAAAAGAGAAAACACGTACAGGACAAAATTCTTCTACCTAGGGTACATGTAGAAAGTAAAAAAAAAAAATTAAAATTGACTACCATGGGAGATAACTCTATACATTTTGTTCCTCAAAAATTGTTACCAGTTCCAGTAAACAAGAAATAACTTGAAAAACATTCATAAATATTTATATTTGTAAACATGTGTAGATAATGATAGATTTTGTCGGAAATATAAATAAAAAGATGTGGTATGAGTGCCAATGAGACATCTCTCCATCCAAGTCACAATGACAATGTATAAAAGGTAAACAAATATCTAGGTCAATTGAAAACCTTAATTTTAAAAAATTTAAACCTTCCTCGTCATGTTAAAAGTTTTTTCATAGTTTTTGGTTACTTTGTATTCATTTTGAATTACATTTTTTTAATAGCTTTTTCATTGTTTATGTAGGTCTTTTATTCCAGCTGACAGTTAAACGAGTGAAATAACAATGAGTCAGCGAGGAGGTCAAAGAGGAGGAGGTGCAAAAGGAAATAATGGAAAGCAACCTAGTATGCAAAGAGGTGGAAAAGGACTTAAAATCAATCAAGGTCAAGGAAAACCTCCGGGGAATCAAGCCAAAAAGCAAGGAGTCCCAAGAGGACCAAACACAAATCAGCATCTAGGAGGTCCAAGACTACCAAACCCCATTCAATTTCAAGAACAGTCTTGTGGAAGCCAACAAAGATTTCCAAGAGGACCACACCCAAATCACTTTCAAGGACAACCTCATGGAAACCAAGAAGGATGTCAAAGGATACCAAACTTAAATCAATGTCAAGGGCAACCTTGTGGAATGCAGCAAGGGGGTCCACGAGGACCAAACCCAAACCAGTTTCTAAGACAACCTCAAGGAAACCAACAAGGAGGTCCAAGAGGATCAAACCCAAACCAGTTTCTAAGACAACCTCAAGGAAACCAACAAGGAGGTCCACAAAGACCAAATCCAAACCAGTTTCCTGGACAACCTCAAGGAAACCAACAAGGAGGTCCAAACTGGTGTACTGGACAACCTCAAGGAAAACAAGGGGGTCAACGAGGACCAAATCCAAACCAGTTTCCTGGACAACCTCAAGGAAACCAACAAGGAGGTCCACGAAGACAAAATCCAAACCAGTGTCCTGCACAGCCTCAAGGAAACCAACAAGGTGGTCCAAAAAGACCAAATCCAAACCAGTTTCTTGGACAACCTCAAGAAAACCAACAAGGAGGTCCACATAGACCAAATCCTAATCAATTTTCTGGACAACCTCAAGGAAACCAACAAAGAGGTCCAAATCCTAATCTATTTTCTGGACAACCTCAAGGAAACCAACAAAGAGGTCCACGAAGACAAAATCAAAACCAGTGTCCTGCACAGCCTCAAGGAAACCAACAAGGTGGTCCAAGAAGACCAAATCCAAACCAGTTTCCTGGACAACATCAAGGAAACCAACAAGGAGGTCCACATAAACCAAATCCTAATCAATTTCCTGGACAATCTCAAGGAAACCAACAAGGAGGTCCACGAAGATCAAATTCGAACATGTGTCCTGGACAACATCAAGGAAAACAACAAGGAGGTCCAAAAAGACCAATTCCAAACCAGTTTCCTGGACAACCTCAAGGAAACCAACAGGGAGATGCACAAAGACCAATTCCAAACCAGTTTCTACAACAACCTCAAGGAAACCAATCAGGAGGTTCTAATGGAAAGTGCCAAGAAGGTCCACAAAGACCAGTTCAAAATCAAGGAGAACCTAAGCCAAAAAAGCAACGATGTCCAACAAAATCCGGTAGAAAGCACCCCAATATGCAGAAGAGTATAAATGAACCTACTCAAAACCCATTTCAAAGCAAGTTTCAAGGAAATCAATCTAAAATGAATCAGTTTCCTGGTTTAATGCAGCAATTGTGCAACTTTACAACACAACAAACTCTACCAAAGTGCCATATTCAACAGTCAAAAAAAGTACAGCCACAAGTTCAAGTAAAATGTAAGCTATTTTTTAGCATATTGTTTTACCCCTGTCTGTCCCTCCGTCTGTCACATCATGGGTATATAGTTTTTTCCAGATAACTCGTCCTACAGATTTGAATGCTAGGAAGTTTTCACTTTGCTGGCTGTTTGTACATATATTGAAGGTATGCATGTGGTCAGGGTTTTGATTTTATTGATATTTGCCTTTTTGGGAGTGAGTTGATCTTTGTCATTTTTTGGAGTATTTACTTGCATAAAAGGTGCATAGCGTTTCCTAATAACTCCTCCTACAGTGAACCATAGACCTATGTGCTCCCATGCTCAACTTTTTATACGACCGCAAACAAATTTTGTTGTCGTATATTGGTATGACGGCGTCGTCGTCGTCCGAAGACACATTGGTTTTCGCACTCTAACTTTAGTTTAAGTGAATGGATCTCTATGAAATTTTACCGCAAGGTTCAATACCACAAAAGGAAGATTGGGATTGATTTTGGGGGTTATGGTACCAACAGTTAAGGAATAAGGGGCCAAAAAGGGGCAAAAAATAAGCATTTTTGTAACTTCCAGACATAACTTGTGTGTTAGTGTATGGATCTCTCTGACATTGTACCACAAGGTTCCATATCACAAAGGGAATGCTGGAATTGATTTTGGGGTAATAGTCCAAAACGTTTAGGAATAAGGGGTCAAAAAAGGGGCAAAAAACGAGCATTTTTCTAGTTTAATGACAATAACTTGTGTGTATGTGTATGGATCTCTCTGCAATTGTACTGCAAGGTACCACACCACAAAGGGAAGGCTGGGATTGATTTTTTTGGGGTAATTGCCTCAAAATTTTAGGAATTAGGGGCCAAAAAAGGGGCAAAAAACAAGCATTTTTCTTGTTTCAGGATAATAAATTGTGTGTAAGTGTATGGATCTCTCTGCAATTGTACTGCAAGGTACCACACCACAAAGGGAAGGCTGGGATTGATTTTGGGGGTAATTGCCTCAAAATTTTAGGAATTAGGGGCCAAAAAAGTCGCAAAAAACAAGCATTTTTCTAGTTTCAGGATAATAAATTGTGTGTAAGTGTATGGATCTTTCTGAAATTGTACTACAAGGTTCCATATCACAAAGGAAAAGCTGGAATTGAGTTTGGGGGTAATTGCCCAAAACGTTTAGGTATAAGGGGCCAAAAAGGAGCCAAAAAACAAGCATTGTTATATGACTGCAAAAAAATTTTGTGGTCGTATATTGGTATGACGTTGGCGTCGTCGTCCGGCGTCATCGTAGTCCGGCGTCGATGTCGTCCGGCGTCGTCGTCGTCGGAAGACACATTGGTTTTCGCACTCTAACTTTAGTTTAAGTGAATGGATCTTTTTGAAATTTGACCATAAGGTTAAATACCACAAAAGGAAGGTTGGGATTGATTTTAAGGGTTATGGTACCAACCGTTAAGGAATTAGGGGCCAAAAAGGGGCCAAAAATATGCATTTTCTAGTTTCCAGACAATAACTGTGGAACGGTGTATGGATCTCTCTGAAATTATACTACAAGTTTCCATACCACAAAGGGATGGTTAGGATTTGCTTTGGGGGGTTATGGCTCAAACCATTTAGGAATTAGGGGCAAAAAAGGGGGAAAAACAAGGTTGTCCTGGTTAATGGACAAATACTTTAGTACAAAACATAATTTAAAGCAGTGTAAGGGAGATAAATCAAATACTTCATTGAAATTATCTCCCTTACACTGCTTTTAAATTATGTAGAAAGTAATGGTTAATGAACAATAAAGATAATTTAAAACAGTGTAAGGGAGGTAATCCAAATACAACGTTTTGGTTACTTCCCTTACACTGCTTTTAAATTATGTTTAAAGAAATGCATATTTATAAAGGAAGACCAGTAAAAATATCTGCAAATGTTGCATCTTTTTTTTTTACAAAAAAATCCATATGAAAGATTTGACACTATATTTTTATTAATTCTATTATAAAATAGATTAAGTTAGCACTATGGTAAATTTAAATGGGTAATTATGGTTGCCAACTCCATTGGAAATTTGAATTAAGATTATGACCATATCTTGAGGGAAAGAATTTTTTGGGGGAAAAAAGGGGGGGGGATAAAAAGAAATTGTGGGGGGTCAATTTTTTCTCATTTCAGATTTCAGAAATTAAAAAGAATTATTCTTCAAATATTATTTTTTTTTCAAATTTCAAATATTGAAAAATTTCAAGAAGTAATCTTTAATTGCACAGTATGGCACATTAGATTTGTAAAATCTTTGATCACATTTATTTATTTGTTATGCCCAATCTAACAGTGTATTTAGATTTTTAATTTTGGGTCCAGTTTTCAAATTGGTCTACATTAAGGTCCAAAGGGTCCAAAATTAAACTTTGTTTGATTTTAGCAAAAATTGAATATATGAGGTTCTTTGATATGCTGAATCTAAACATGTATTTAGATTTTTGATTTTTGGCCCAGTTTTCAAGTTGGTCCAAATTGGGGTCCAAAATTAAACTTTGTTTGTTTTCAACAAAAATTGAATATATGAGGTTCTTTGATATGCTGAATCTAACCATGTATTTAGATTTTTTATTTGTGGACCCCGTTATCAAATTGGTTCATATTGAGGTCAAAAGGGTCCAAAATTAAACTTTGTTTGATTTCATCAAAAATTGAATTATTGGGGTTCTTTGATATTCCAAATCTAACCGTGTATTTAGATTTTTAATTTTGGGTCTTGTTTTTTAAATTGGTCTACATTAAGGTCCAAAGGGTCCAAAATTAAACTTAGTTTGATTTTAACAAAAATTGAATTCTTGGGGTTCTTCGATATGCTGAATCTAAACATGTGTTTAGATTTTTGATTATGGGCCCAGTTTTCAAGTTGGTCCAAGATATGGTCCAGTATTCAAACTTTGTTTGATTTCAACAAAAATTGAATATATGGGGTTCTTTGATATGCTGAATCTAAACATGTATTTAGATTTTTGATTATGGGCCCAGTTTTCAAGTTGGTCCAAATTGGGGTCCAAAATTAAACTTTGTTTGATTTCAACAAAAATTGAATATATGAGGTTCTTTGATATGCTGAATCTAACCATGTATTTAGATTTTTTATTTGGGTCCCGTTTTTTAAATTGGTCTTCATTGAGGTCCAAAGGGTCCAAAATTAAACTTAGTTTGATTTTAACAAAAATTGAATTCTTGGGGTTCTTTGATATGCTGAATCTAAACATGTGTTTAGATGTTTGATTATGGGCCCAGTTTTCAAGTTGGTCCAAGTTGGGGTCCAAAATTAAACTTTTTTTTATTTCAACAAAAATTGAATATATGGGGTTCTTTGATATGCTGAATCTAACCATGAATTTAGATTTTTTATTTGTGGGCCCCGCTATCAAATTGGTTCATATTGAGGTCAAAAGGGTCCAAAATTAAACTTCGTTTGATTTCATCAAAAATTGAATTATTGGGGTTCTATGATATTCCAAATCTAACAGTGTATTTAGATTTTTAATTTTAAGTCCAAATTTTTTAAATTGGTCTACATTAAAGTCCAAAGGGTCCAAAATTAAACTTAGTTTGATTTTAGCAAAAATTGAATTCTTGGGGTTCTTCGATATGCTGAATCTAAACATGTGTTTAGATTTTTATACGACCGTAAAAAAATTTTTGTGGTCGTATATTGGTATGACGTTGGCGTCGTCGTCGTTGTCCGGCGTCGTCCGAAGACACATTGGTTTTCGCACTCTAACTTTAGTTTAAGTGAATGGATCTCTATGAAATTTTACCACAAGGTTCAATACCACAAAAGGAAGGTTGTGATTGATTTTGGAGGTTATGGTACCAACAGTAAAGGAATTAGGGGCCAAAAATAAGCATTTTTGTAACTTCCAGACATAACTTGTGTGTTAGTGTATGGATCTCTCTGACATTGTACCACAAGGTTCCATATCACAAAAGGAATGCTGGGATTGATTTTGGGGGTAATTGCCTCAAAATTTTAGGAATAAGGGGCCAAAAAAGGGGCAAAAAACAAGCATTTTTCTAGTTTCATGACCATTACTTGTGTGTAAGTGTATGGATCTTTCTGAAATTGTACTACAAGGTTCCATATCACAAAGGGAAAGCTGGAATTGAGTTTGGGGGTAATTGCCGAAACGTTTAGGAATTGGGGGCCAAAAAGGGGCCAAAAATAAGCATTTTTCTAGTTTCCAGACAATAACTTGTGTTCAAGTGTATGGATCTCTCTGAAATTGTACTGCAAGGTACCATACCACAAAGGGAAGGCTGGGATTGAGTTTGGGGGGTGATGAATCATAAGGGGTCCAAAAAATTTGGGGGGGGATTTTTTTTTTTTTTCCTTTTTTTTTTCTTTTTAAATTTTCCATTTTAAGTTGGTTATTTCTGATTTATATTTAAAAGCAAAAAATATTGATATGGTAGGAGATACACACCAAACAGGATGTGTAAATTATTATATAATAAGTATTGTGCAATAGCAAGAAATTTTCAATTGCACAGTATTGCACAATAGCAAGAAATCTTCAATTGCACAGTATTGCGCAATAGCAAGAAATCTTCAATTGCACAGTATTGCGCAATAGCAAGAAATATCCAATAGCACAATATTGCGCAATAGAAAGAAATTGTCAATTGTACAGTATTGCGCAATAGCAAAAAATATTTAATTGCACAGTATTGTGCAAAAGAAGATACTTCGTATAAATTGCTTATTTCTTGACCAATTTCAATGGGGTTTTATTCTTGAATTCTTGGGGTTCTTTAATATGCTGAATCTAACCGTGTATTTAGTTTTTGGATTTTGGGCCCCGTTTTTAAATTGGTCCACATTGAGGTCCAAAGGGTCCAAAATTAAACTTTGTTTGATTTCATCAAAAATTGAATTATTGGGGTTCTTTGATATGCCGAATCTAACCGTGTATTTAGATTCTTAATTTTTGGTTCCGTTTTCAAATTGGTCTACATTAAGGTCCAAAGGGTCCAAAATTAAACTTAGTTT